TTACTTGATTGTTATAACTCCTTCTCTTGAAATGGTTCTCCATGTATATGTGATGAATAAAGGCAAATGCTTCGTCGTTTGCCAAATACCATTGTTTTTGACTTTGATTTATTAATAGTTAGAGCGTTGTTATGACAATAGGAATTAAACCTTCTCAGCAGTCTACGTAGCCCAACTTGCGAATATGATAGTAAAATCATATCGTCGGCATATAGAAGGATGTTGAAATGTGTATTGCACAGCTTAGGCATGTGTACCTCTGGGTCCTTCAACTGTTCGGGGAGATCATTTACGTATAAGCTGAATAACAGTGGTGCTAATATACACCCTTGTCTGACCCCTTTGTATGTTTCTATACTGTTTGTCATGGCTCCTTGCATCCCAAGTCGCACTTTCAGGTAGGTGCTTGTGTAAAGTGCCTTGATTAGTGCCAGCAGTCTGGGTTCCATATTGAGATCCATTAGTTTCTTCCATAACGTCTCTCTATTTACAGTATCAAATGCTGCACTAAGATCTATAAAGGCGGCATACAGTTGTTTCCCTCTGCTGACATATTTTGCAATTGTATGATTTAAAACAAAGCAATTGTCAATAGTTGATCTACTCTGTCTAAAGCCAGCCTGTTCTTCAGCGAGGATATGTTTTTCTTTTTCCCAACATTCAACTCTGTTCAGGAGATATCTGGCATATATCTTGGCCACAATATCAATTAGGCTAATTGGCCTGTAGGAACCAGGGTCTTTTTTGTTCCCTTTTTTGTAAACAGGGACAACTATTGCCATCTTCCATCCAACTGGAACCTGACAGATGTTATTTATGTGTGTAAATAAGCCTGCTAACAGGGGGGCCCACCAGTCTAGATGTGTTTTAAATAGCTCAGCTGGTAAGTAATCTTCTCCTGGGGCTTTATTGGTCTTCAGGTTGTTTATAATACCTCTGATCTCACCTTCTGTTACTGATGGCCAGAGGGGAAGGGCTTTTATTGATAAATCATTACCTGGTGTCTGTGTCTCTGTAAGTTCTGTGGGAGCAAACAACTGTGAGTAGTAATTTTCCCAGTTTTCTGCAGGAATAGGTATATCAAGTGTATATTTCCTTTCCTTCAAAATTCCTGTTAGAGCAGATAGAAAATCAACATCAGGCCTCTTGGTTAGTTCTCCTGACAAAATACATTAGGAGCTGTGGACTTCCGACTCGGTATCCGAATCTCTTAGAAGAGTTAGACCCAAAAATAGTTGCTCAACGAGTATTGGATATAGAAGGCCAAAAAGACATTGCTACCCTCAGTAAAGCTGGCTCACTGAAATGGTTATGCCGCTTTAAACACACCTTCCAAACAGCTCGATATCTAAAAACAGATATGCCAAAACACCTTAGGAGGGTATTTACCAGAGCTCGTTTTGAACAGCTGGATACAATGGACAAGCACGGAAGGTTTAATCAAGTCCCATACAACGAACGATTTTGTATTTGTGGAGCACCAGAGGTGGAGGATATCACACATGTATTGTTCAACTGTGAGCTGTATAAGAAAGAGAGAGACCATTGCCTTGGACCATACATTATTCAAAAAACACACTGGGACCCATATATTAAAACCTCATTTTTGTTGGCTGGCCAGAACCCTAAAATAACACACAAAACAGCCCTTTTTCTATTCAAAGCAACACAGCTGAGAATTGCACATTTAGAATCAATTGGGGTAAACTGTGGAGGTGACGCAGACATTTGACCTGAACGAGATCTTGTTAACAGCTTGTTTATTTTAACTCCTTTTATACCGAGGGTTGTATGTTGTATGTATGACTATGTGTTAATTGTGTTATGTGTTAAATGTTTTGATACGGCCAATAGGTCAATCAATAAAACGTATCTATCTGTGGGCAAATGCTTGCTTATTTAATTATTATTATTATTATTATTATTATTATTATTATATTATTGTTATCCTGTCTTTCTCTCAATATAGAGTGAAGGAAGCTAACAGTAAACATGACACATTCCAAAAGCTTTTTAGTTTTAAGAATCATGTTATGGCTGTTTTAGATACACGTTTTTGTTACTGTAGATGGAGGACAAAAAAAGACATTAAAATGTACTTAGAAAACACTATATCTTCCTCCAGCTCCCTTCACCCCAATGAACAAGATACAATAAAATTGATACAATAAAATATTACATTTTTGAGTGCACCCTCCAAATTTATTGTATTCAAATAAAAAAGGACAACATTTCCAAGTGCTGGTGGATTTATGTTCAAGTAAGTATTCATAAGGTTGCACCCTTCATTCTAAAAGTAGAAACAAAAGCAGTCCTCTGAATTGGTCATCTCCCTGTAAACTTCTCATATTGCACACAAGGAAGCATCAAGGACCTCCACCTTTTGCTATTGTCCTTCACTCAGAGAGAAAAACTGGTTTGGAAGACATGTTACTTCATGACTCTTAACTTTCCAAAGAGATTTTAGGGATGTGTTCATAATCCCTAGAAGGAGGAAATAATTTTGTCATATAGAGCAGAAATTGTAACTGATTAGGGTGAATCACTGCATTCTTTGCTCAGAAATATGACTCCTAGGGATCATAACCTTTACCCAAAATGTGAGAAGAAAATATTAGCCATTCATACTTTTTCCCAGCCCAGACTTCATTCCAATCAGAGAAGAATCTAACATCTGCCTGAAGTCTCAGAGTATTGGTGGGAGGCACTATCACAAATATCGCAACCACCATCACTGGCTATATACTCAAATACATCTAGAAATTTTAGTTCAAAAATGAAGTCCAAAAACCTAGCTTAACTTATCCACAGATTTATGTGTACTTTACATTAACTCTCTCTCTATTTATTTATTTATTTATTATTTAAACTTATATGCCGCCACTCCCCTGGGGCTCGGAGTGGCTTACAAGAATAGCTAAAATCTAACAAAATTTAAAAGCAATTTAAAACAATTTAAAAACAGCACTATCAAACATTAAAAGCCTGTCGAAACAGGTATGTCTTACATGCCCTGCGGAAAGCTGGGAAGTCCCGCGAGGCACGGACTTCAGGTGGCAGAGTATTCCAGAGTGATGGTGCCACTGCTGTGAAGGCTCTGCGTCTGGTTGCTGTTAGACGCAAGGTTTTGACACTGGGAACTTCCAATAGATCTTGGTCCTCAGAACGGAGGGATCTCTGAGTTGACTGATGAAAGGTTAGAACTTAGTCCATCCCAGGAGAACCTAAAAGAAGCAGTTTTCCCGCCCTCTACTTCCTACACTGAATATCTGGGTGGGAAAGTTGCAGTAGCAGTCAGGAAGGCAAAGGTGGATTCTCCTCTCTGTGGAATAACGCTAATTTTTTTCATGGATCATATCAAAATCTGCAATTTTAGCTCAGACATACACACAGAGGCGGCCCTAGGTAATTTTCAATGGTAAGCAAACAGTATTTTGGTGCCCCCACCCACCAACCAATCACTGATATATATTTTCTGTTTGTCATGGGAGTTCTGTGTGCCATATTTAGTTCAATTCCATCATTGGTGGAGTTCAGAATGCTCTTTGATTTTAGGTGAACTATACATCCCAGTAACTACAACCTGCATATGTCAAGGTCTATTTTCCCCCAAGAGCACCTCAAGAGCGCCCCTGGGCAAAATCAACTATACTGCAAATGCTTACTTTGCATAATGGGTTGAGCCGCCCCTGCATACACATGAGATCAAGTTGTTGTTGTTCATTCATTCAGTCGTTTCCAACTTTGTGACTTCATGGACCAGTCCACGCCAGAGCTCCTTCAAAGTCAATCCAGTCACTTCAAGGATACCGTCCATCCATCTTGCCCTTGGTCGGCCCCTCTTCCTTTTTCCTTCTGTTTTCCCCAGCATAATTGTCTTCTCTAGGCTTTCCTTTCTTCTCATGATGTGGCCAAAGTACTTCATCTTGGCCTCTACTTCCTACACTTCTACTTCCTTCTTCTTTCTTCTTTCTCTATCTGTTTCTTTCCTCCCATCATCATCATCGTCATCATTTAATAACTTATTGATCGCCCTCCATCCGAGAATGCTCTAGGCGATTTACAGCTAAATTATGAAAGATAAAATACATACATACAAAAATTAAAAATTAACAGAGATCGAATGCTCTAGTAAAAAAGCCAGGTCCTTTGCTGTTTGGTTCCATCCTTCCTTCCTTCTCTCTTTCTTTCTTTCCTTCCCTCCCTCTTTCTCTCTTTTGTGCCTTCTCTAGTTCCTTCCTTCCCTCCCTCCCTCCCTCTTTCCTTTCTTCTTGTACTTTATTTCCTTCTCTCCTTCCTTCAAGTTATACATGGATATTTATGGTAGATTTAGATTTCTCAAAGGTCAAACCTGAGCATAAAAGAAATCCAGTGATTTTCCAATGTGGGTATATGAGACAACTTAGTTTTCTGGAGCAAAATATTCTCATTTTTATTTTTCCCCTCCACTTCTTTCTGGATGTTTGTGTGCCTTTATTTACAGATTACATACCTGCAAGCAAGGACTTGCTGTTTTTTTTGTTTTTTTAAATTCTTTTGCTGGTCCTGGGAATTTGAATGCTGTTTTTTATCTTTAGACTGCAAGCCTGCAGGCAGGACCTGTATTATTTTCAATTCTATTGCCAGGCATAGTGATTTTAAATCCATATAATAAAAAAGGTTATGACTATGAGCAAATGAGGGCAGGACCATCATATTACTTCCACAAATCCTGGCTCGGGGGCATTATAAGAATTTGCTTACATCTCTAAACTCATGGCACCAGAGTAACGTGATTCAAATGTAATAAGGACTTTGGAATGGCTTTCTTTGATCCTCTAAGAAATTATTGTCTTCATTGTCTTCCAGCGAAACAAGGACACCATGTTTTGTGTACTTTGGCTCTTCTTACATGTCTCAACATCAGGAGAACAAAGTTGGGCGTTTGAGTCACTGGAACGCTCAGCTGTTGAGAAAGCTTTTGGCAAAGAGTGCAGATTTAAGTTGTGACGTACTTGAGAGAGAAAGCAATACAGGAATCTCCAGAAACCAAAGCAAAGACATAAGAACCTAGAGAGTAAGGGAAAAGAATGATAGTATGCAAAGTTCCTTCCTGACTCCAGCCTCTGGGTTTTTTTGTAAGGAAAAGAATAGGGAGAAGAGGAGGGGCAAGTTGTCTAAAGCAGCTTAAAAGAGAAGCCACTGCTTGTTCTCTTTCACGGGTCCCACACCACTGCAAAGATGGGCTCCTGGATTTTTCTTCTGGCCCTAGTCTTTCATTTAAGTACTGCAACACCTTCGCAGCCGTAAGTAACCACATTTATGTATGACTGTTTTCTTGTTTGGGATTCAATAGCTTAGGAGTAACAATAGCTTGTGGTTCACTGAATGCACTTCTGGGCAGATGTTTGTGTTAATAGGTGAAGTGGCTCAAGGTATGAAATATGAACCTCAGAAGCCCAAATACTGAAGTCATCCATCATCCCCATGAATTCAAAGGGCGGATATATTTATTTATTGATGTTTCGTATTTCTGCTTTATCTCTAAAGTGCCTAATCATCGAATTATAGAATCATAGCATTGGAAGAATCCTAATGGCCCATCCAGTCCAACCCCCCTGCCAAGAAGCAGGAATACTGCGTTCAAAGCACCCCTGACAGATGGCCATCCAGCCTCTGTTTAAAAGCTTCCAAAGAAGGAGCCTCCACCACACTCTGGGGCAGAGAGTTCCACTCCTGAACGGCTCTCACAGTCAGGAAGTTCTTCATAATGATGCTCATATGCTTAAAAGGCAAAACAATTGTGTTACAGAAATCCTACCTTTGTTACTATATTTGCTATAAATGAAGGTCTTATCTTGGTTTGAGTTGCTGAATCAGTTGCTGAATGATAAATCAACATTTTTGGGGAACTCAGAATCTATTCCATGTGTGCATGGTGTGTCAGAGAGTCCAAGAAACATCTGCCCTGAGGAAGATGCACTCTAAAAACACAACACAAAGGAAACAATAAATACAAAGGAAACTACCATATGGTAGTTTTTTTTAAAAAAAAAAACATGTACAAGTAAGCAGACCTATCCTGTCTCTTAACCCTAGCCACATTATTACCATTTTAGAAATATATTAATCCATTAACTTTACTGAAGATGCCTCGGATGAAAGGGGACAACAGTGCAGAATTTCATGTTACTGGAAAAGATTGCCTTATGAGTATTGGAAGCTTCTGTTATGACAATTAGAAGAACTTATTGTATATACTCATGTAAAACTTTAGGGCAGGTTTTGGGACTAAATTTGTAGATTTTGATATGACTGTGAATAAGTCAAGGGGAAAGTGCCATCACTTCCTCAGCATGGGGCACCAGGATTGCTCTGCCAATTTGCCATGGAGGGTTGCAAATTGCCCCGTGGGACCTCATCCATCGATGAGGTCTTTAGTCAACACTCATATAAATTCCATTTATGACCACATCACGTGGACTATCAGAAGTGAGTGGGACCATCTGTCTAACAAAGGGAATTGTACCTTTTGATCCTCAATCATCCCATTTCAAGTTCTGTCTTCCCATCACATGTTTTCGTCTTCAATTTTTCCCCAGTTTACCCATGGTTGCCCACTGTTCGAACCATTACACAGAGAATCTGTAGGGAAAACATGAATATCTACAGCAGGCATGGGCAAACTTTTTTGGCTTCAGGCCGCATTGTGGGCCTGACCGCAAGGGAGAGATGGCAGCTGGGCATGTGCTGGATGGACGGGTCTGAGAGGGAGAGGGTCTATGAGAGAGTAGGGCTGGGAGGGGGTAGGGCAGGTTGTCCTCCTGGCACAATGATGGGGCTGCTCGAGACATACAGCAACTACCCCAAGACTCCTCCCTGATCCTCCTCTCCCGATCTTCAGACTGTCCTTTTGGCATTATGCCAAGAGAAGGGTGAGACAAGAAGCAGCCAAGAGTGCTCTTAACTGCTGCGTGCTTTCTTCTTTGCATAAGAACGGGACCATTCGCACTGTCATAATGGAGGGAGGAGGGAGATACATGTGCTGGCTGAGAGTGGTACAGAGGGCTCTCAGCTGCTATGTGCCTTCCTCCCCCATACTTTCTGCATAAGGATGCAGCAGGCCATTGTGTCGTAATTTTTAGAGGACATGGAAAATGAAGAGGGCCTGAAGTAAGCGCCCAGGGAGCCGCATCCCTCCCCCCCGCCAAAGCCTTAGTTTGCCCATGCCTGATCTAGAGTCAAGACTACTATGGACACCATCCCATTTGGATTTCCCATGCTTTCCTTTCCTTTATTAGACCAGTGTAATTTGAAACCCTTTGCAACCATCCCATCTTTCAAGGCTGTGTTTTGTTCTCCATATCTGTTATCATTCTCATTGCTTGTCTCTGAACCAATTCCAACTTGTCTGTGTTGTTATTAAAATGAGGAGCCCCAGTGCTGAATGCAGTACTCCAGATGAAGCCTGGTGAGACAGTATATAGGCAGCCTGTTACTTCTCTCAACTTGGAAACAATGGTTCTATTGTATTGTCAAAGGCTTTCATGACCAGAATTACTGGGTTGCTGTAAGTTTTTTGAACTGCATGGCCATGTTCCAGAACATGGCCATACAGCCTGAAAAACTTACAGCAACCCAATGGTTCTATTGATGCAGATGTTCTTTCCTTCCCTTTTTTTTCAGCTGCCAAGTTAACTTTCCCCAATGGTAGAAAGTCCTGGGATCTTTTACCCTAACCCTAAGCTGCTATCTTTTAGAAAGAACAGGTCTTCCCCTATCCAAGCTCAAGGTTAGTTTGGGGATGAAGTAATGGAGCCTCTCCCAATGGCAGAGAAATCCTGAGATATTATCTGCCCCAGCACTGAGCTGCTATCCTTTAGAAAGAGCAGGCCTTCCCCTATCTGAGCTCAGCACCAGTTTCCAAGGCAAGAGGGTAATCGTACTCATGATGGCCAAAACTAACAAAATGAAGTTCAACAGTGATAAATGCAAGATACTCCACTTAAGCAGAAAAAACGAAATGCAAAGGTACAGAATGGGGGACAATGCCTGGCTCAAGAGCAGTACATGTGAAAAAGATCTTGGCGTCCTCGTGGACAACAAGTTAAACATGAGCCAACAATGTGATGTGGCGGCAAAAAAAGCCAATGGGATTTTGCCTGCATCAATAGGAGCATAGTGTCTAGATCTAGGGAAGTCATGCTACCCCTCTATTCTGCTTTGGTTAGATCACACCTGGAATATTGTGTCCAATTCTGGGCACACCACAATTCAAGAGAGATATTGACAAGCTGGAATGTGTCCAGAGGAGGGCGACTAAAATGATCAAGGGTCTGGAGAACAAGCCCTATGAGGAGCGGCTTAAGGAGCTGGGCATGTTTAGCCTGAAGAAGAAAAGTCTGAGAGGAGATATGATAGCCATGTATAAATATGTGAGAGGAAGCCACAGGGAGGAGGGAGCAAGCTTGTTTTCTGCTTCCCTGGAGACTAGGATGAAACAATGGCTTCAAACTACAAGAGAGGAGAGTCCATCTGAACATGAGGAAGAACTTCCTGACTGTGAGAGCCGTTCAGCAGTGGAACTCTCTGCCCTGGAGTGTGGTGGAGGCTCCTTCTTTGGAAGCTTTTAAACAGAGGCTGGATGGCCATCTGTCAGGGGTGATTTGAATGCAATATTCCTGCTTCTTGGCAGGGGGTTGGACTGAATGGCCAATGAGGTCTCTTTCAATGGTTTGATTCTATGATTCTATGGCCTGTCCGAGCTGCCTAGCTTGGCCACCAGCACATCTGAGGCTTTTTCTAAACTGAAGAAGGCAGGAGAGCTTCTCCAAAATGGAGATCTCATCCCTAGGAAAAAGGGCAGTCTCTGGACCAAAGAGATACCTTTTAAAGCCAATTGCTGGCTTCCAGCCTCTGTTAATGTTTGACTATTGGGGTGCTGCTAAGACTGTAGCAACCCTGGGGGAATGTAGCAACTAAGGGGCAATGCAAACCAAACTCCTGGAAAACGGAACAAGAAATTAACTCAAATAATGCAGATTCATACTGAATTGCATGGAAGTCTAGTGAGGGTAAGCAATTCTCCTGTTTCATAGGAAAATGAGACAGGTGAACTTTTTTATCCATTTAATTGCATTGATGTGATGAAGTCCTAAGAAACATCAAGACTGGTTTGATGACAATGATAATGGGATCCAGCATATATTATCATCACCCTTTTCAAAAAGGGAGAAAGTAGGCCTTGAATTGTTGCCTACTTTTAAACCGCTCTGAGTCCCCTTCGGGGTGAGATGGGCGAGATATAAATCTAGTAAATAAATAAACAAAACTGAACAGACTGTGGAAACAATAGCGGTATCTCCCTTTTAACCTCCACTGTGAAAATCCTCTCCATAATCCTGGTAAACTGCCTTCTACCTACTTCAGAAGACATCCTCCCAGAATCTCAAAAAAGCTTCTGCACCTTTCCAGGAACACTGGATATGATTTAATTTTCAGAAGAGGTCTGAGTGGAGGGCTTTTAGACAAGAGAAGAGAAAGTTAAAGTTCCCCTCATTGCACATTGTAGATTGACCAATACTTCTGAAATGGCAGGGAAATAGGTTTTGAGGAAAGGAGAGATAATTACCAAGAGACATCCTTTCTGGAGATTAAGAAAAGGTACGGCTTTATTTCCAGCTGGTGACTCTGGTGGACTCGTGTCCCAAAAAGCAAAACCCAGAGCCCCCGATCAAGCTGCGGACTGCCCTTTTATAGATTTCAGAATCAAGCAGACAAAGAACATACTAGTACATACATCTTCATACAATCATCATCATCCCTACGTCATCTGAGCATCATAAGAATATCAGGTTCCAACCTCCAACATGCAAAAAGCATGTCTCTGTCTCTAGCTGAAGAGCCAGCATGGAGTATTCCCCCTCCCTCTTGGCTGTGCTTACAGTCATCCATCAAAGGGGCCCTCTGACTTGTCAAGAGGCTTCTTACTTAGAGGGGGCCTTCTCGTACCAGCCTGTGTCTTATCTCTCTTCTGGAATGCATGCCCCTTCTGAAGACAACCAGTTTGCTTGCTGTTAGCATTCTTACTACACAGAGGGAACTAGATTTTCCTATACATTTAAAGTACATATGATTTTTATGCATAAATCAATCAATAAATATCCATTTTTCCAATATCTCCTCATCACTTCTTTCTTCTTTTCTTCCCTTCCACCCTCCCTGCTTTCCCACAATAATTCTTGGCCCTAGTAGGATCCTTGGCCCTGAGGCCACATTCCATGTGCTCACTACAAGGTTTCTTACTTGATATAATCTTGAGACAACAAACTTCCCCCTCTTTCTATTAACGGGAGTATGAATTGCAACTTGAAAAGCCAGATTCCAGCTTTAGTCAGACTCACTTTTGTTTACTTTTATCTCTTTTCCTTCTGTCTAAATCTTCTTTCAGGCATCTCTAAGTAAAATTAACTGGCTCAATGTCAAGATGCTTGTGGAAAAACAAGGCACTCCAAGGGCCTTTTTCCAAAATCCAGGGCTAATAGCAAACCACACTGTCTCTGTGTAAGGGAAATGGCTTCAGGTTTTTGCCTCAGGTGAAATAAGAAATACTGCATGTGTATACACCAGGCCTTCTTAAACTTTTCCCACTCATGACCCCTTTTTCACACATAGTATATTAAATAGCTATACAAACCAAAAGTTTACTGATAATCATAAAGAATTTTATTTTAAAACATTTCTTTGGTGTATTTATATAGTTTTACAATTTATGCAAGATGAAAGCTAGTTTGCATTCTACCAATGTGCTTGTTAATTTTTATATAAAGAACTAAATCTTGGCTGAATATTTGATACTGCAGGAGCACATTCAGAATTAACATAGGGAGCTGAATTTTCCTGGAACATTTTTGGGCTCATTCTTGTTGGGAAGTTGGGGAACAAACAAAGAGTGAAACTGCCCTTTTGTTCTATGAATCTTCATAGAATTTATGATGTTTTGATGTTTCCTGATGGACTTGGTTCCAAGAAGCAAACAAGAAATCACATGAGTATTGACAGTTGTCAGGAAACTACTTTGCTAAAATAATCTAATTTCCAATTATATTTCTTGTTTTCTTGCTGCTCCTGTCACAGATAGAATCATAGAATCATAGAATCAAAGAGTTGGAAGAGACCTCATGGGCCATCCAGTCCAACCCCCTGCCAAGAAGCAGGAATGTTGCATTCAAATCAATCAATCAATGATTTATTACGGTCTTTGACCAGCACAGTTGCATTCAAATCACCCCTGACAGATGGCCATCCAGCCTCTGTTTAAAAGCTTCCAAAGAAGGGGACTCCACCACAGAGAGTTCCGCTGCTGAACGGCTCTCACAGTCAGGAAGTTCTTCCTCGTGTTCAAATGGAATCTCCTCTCTTGTAGTTTGAAGCCATTGTTCCGCGTCCTAGTCTCCAAGGAAGCAGAAAACAAGCTTGCTCCCTCCTCCCTGTGGCTTCCTCTCACATATTTATACATGCTATCATATCTCCTCTCAGCCTTCTCTTCTTCAGGCTAAACATGCCCAGCTCCTTAAGCCGCTCCTCATAGGGCTTGTTCTCCAGACCCCTGATCATTTTAGTCGCCCTCCTCTGGACACATTCCAGCTTGTCAATATCTCTCTTGAATTGTGGTGCCCAGAATTGGACACAATATTCCAGGTGTGGTCTAACCAAAGCGGAATAGAGGGGTAGCATTACTTCCTTAGATCTAGACACTATGCTCCTATTGATGCAGGCCAAAATACCATTGGCTTTTTTTGCTGCCACATCACATTGTTGGCTCATGTTTAACTTGTTGTCCACGAGGACTCCAAGATCTTTTTCACACGTACTGCTCTCGAGCCAGGCATTGTCCCCCATTTTGTATCTTTGCATTTCGTTTTTCTTGCCAAAGATCACTCTGTGTATCACTCAGCTCAGACTACTGTTTATGATATGATCTAATGAAGAAATAAATAGTCTGAATTGGCCATTATGTTTCTGATTGAGTAGAGTGGGTAGTTATTCCAAAAGGTTCAGCAGAGACTGTATTCTTACATTATCACTGTGACAGCAATTATTCAGTCAAAACTGGCTCTTAAATTATTTTTGGGATGAAACCAGAAATTGTGAACTGTCTGTCATATCACCATTTATTGTTTTTCTTACATGTAAGCTTTATGACCTATTTGTCTAGAGCACTGGTTCTCAACCTGTGGGTCCCCAGGTGTTTTGGCCTACAACTGCCAGAAATCTCAGTCAGTCTACCAGCTGTTAGGATTTCTGGGAGTTGAAGGCTAAAACATCTGGGGACCCCAGGTTGAAACCACTGACTAGAGGAAGAAATAGAAATAAATGCAAGAGCTTTCTTCATTCACTAACGTTTACCCAAAATGAGGAAGGTACAAAATAGATATAATGGCAACATGATATTATTGTGGCTCATAACATGCTGCATAGTCCCTTTAAGGAACATGTAGGATAGGTATACACTTTTAAAATGCAAATATTGACATTTCTGTAGAGTCTGTGCCAATTATGTGTTTCAGTGCTGATTTTGCCTCCTCTCTCATTGCAGCCAATATGTCCTGATCGCACCTGCAGTTGTGGAGAATAGCATTTCCAACGAGGCCTATTTACATCTCGAGAACATCAATGAGGCATTAACTGTGAATGTGACACTGGAGTACAACACAGAAAGCTATCTTCTATGGGAGGGCACTGTGACTGAACGCCACTTCTCCCAATGTTTCAATTTCACGGTGCATAATTTTTTGTCTTACTTCTACTCCCTTTCCTACATTACGCTGTAATGCAAGCAGGGAAGAATGATAATTTATAATTCACAATTGTTTCCATTTGTACTAAATCGGGTGGGCAAAATGTGACCCTCCAAATAAGGAAGCTAGGCATAGCAAAACAAGAAATGGAACATATAAACATTGCAATGTTTGGGCTGCATGAACTAAAGTGGACAGGAATAGGACATTCTGAGCCAGGTGATTCTACAGTGATTTACTCAGGACATGAAAAAATAGATTGGAGTTAAGACTGAGAAAAGATGTCTGATGAAGTGGATGATATCAATAAGATTTCATTGTTATAGCTATAATCTAAGTTAACGTTCTAACTAGAGACAGAAGAAAAAGAAACTGAAAGATTATCTGCTAGTGTGCAGGAAGAAATTGATTATACACCAAAACAAGAAACTGGAAGGCAAAACTAGGAAGCAGAACAGAATGAATAGTTGTATTAAGGATTACACAATAAAGCAGCAGAATGACAGAATTTTGCAGGGTCATACTCATTATACATCACAAACATATTCTTCAAGCCACCAAAGAAGTTACTTGATATTTGGACATTTCCTGATGGCCAATGTAAAAATCAAATAGACTACATATATAAGTTATATATAATGTATAATTTGAAAACTGTTTGACAGAAAATCGCCCCCTGTCATGACCTTCTTTCCTGCTTTTCTGTGGAACTTGGAAAGTAGACCATGCCTTAGCCTGCCCTGGCCTGGTGCATACTTGAAATAAGGGAAAGGTTTCCATGGAAACGGGAGCAATAAAGGGGAGGGGCCAGGATGAGGGATAGGAGGTCTGAGGGAAAGAAACTGTCAGTTGGAATTTTGTTTTGTACCACACTGTGTGAGAAATAAAGCCTTCCGACTCTGTTTGTGAGGTCATTTCTTCACCAGAAACCTGCAGTTCAGGACACCTCCCTCATCACAAAATGTATACACAAATCAGTGCTGGATTAGGGATCAGTGAAAAGACATAGGTGAGGAGCTTCCACCAATTACTCCTTCCTTTCCCAAACTGGAGAAGGAAAGAGAGCTTTTCCTCCTTCCTCGTCTTCTTTTTCAGCCTGAACAGAGTTCATCAGCAACACGAGGAAGTGGAGAGTTGAATTGAAACATTTATCAGACACTGACATCCTCAAAAGGAAAGAGCAAAATGAAGCAAGCTAACCATAAACAACATAGATCAAAACAATTGCCTATTTTTCATAAAGAAATAGGACAACCCAAAAGAATATCAGTTGCATTTTAAATTCAACAAAGACTCAGTTAAGTTTGATTTGAACTTTGTGGCAGGAAAGGAGTGCTAGTGGCAGAGTTGGTCTATCCATCAAATTCCTCCCAGTTTTCTTTGCCAGAAAATAACAAACTAAATAAAACTATGTACAAAAGGCTGTTTATCACATTGTTTTTTCTACATATGACGAAACAATGTTTTTCTTAATTTGAAAGCAGTCCTCCTACACTGATTGAACTTTAGTAATGAAGAAATATTGACATTCACTGCCAGGCAGAATCTATCCTTGTCATTTATGCCTGTTTTTCCTTATGTCAATTTCACTCTGGAAACAATAACAGTCTTATCCAAGTTGCTAAAACATCAGGTGCGCTTCTATCGTATGACCCCATTCGAAAAAGAGATTTGCCTCATATTCATCTGACAACAATAAAACCCCATAATCCTGATAGAAAAGCTCCAATTTGTGTTGATTTTCATTGTGGAAAGGGAATATGTGTTCTTTTCTTACTGCTTCCATTTTAATGCATTTCTTGCCTATCAACAGGTTCCCTTGGCTACTTCTAGTGCACTAGCATTTCTGCATCTTTCTGCCAAAGGCCACTCATTAAACATCTATGAAAGAAAGGCAGTAGCTGTACGGAACACAAGCTCAACTGTACTTGTTCAGACCGATAAGCCCATCTACAAACCTGGCCAGAAAGGTAAGTGAAGAACGCCTTGTGTGCCCCTCAAAGCAGACAATACAGAAGGCTTTGGGTGAGAGATAGTTTACGTTAGTCACTTCTTATCTATGTGTGACCATAATGAAAAACAAATAGAAACCTTCAATTTTTCCTGGCTCGTAAGCATTTACTAGATTTTTAGTAACGAATTAATAGAAACTGTTAATAGTTATTGAGTAATAACCACTCAGTTTTTGAATAATTACAAACCCTGCATTGAGATTACTCAAGAGATAAATCTTTGTGTTCAGAGATAGTTGTCATATCAGTGGAGAAATCTATTACATGTTTTAGGGTGCTTTTGCACTGTAGAATTAATGCAGTTCAATATCACTATAACTTCAGTTCCATGCTCTGAAATCATGGAACCTGTAGTTTTACAAAGTCTTCTCTGCCAAGAAATGCTGTTTGCTTTACCAAACTACAAATCCTTGGATTCCATTGCATTGAACTCAATTTCATAATATTGATCCATGGCAGTGAAAGTGGTGTCAAACTGAATTAATTCCACAGTGTGGATGCACCCCTACGTAGCTTATCCTGATCTAGTTATGAAGAACGCTCCCCCGTGTGGATCTCCTTAGCTGAATCAGGAACAGATTGAATGAAAATCTACTCATCATTGAAAATAATACTACTGTTACGGATTTTATTGTCCCATTTCATTATCACATCTGATTTATGTGTTTCTGATTCAGCAAAGGAAATATTTGCTCTATCCTCCCCAGAGCCTAATCCTGTGGGCTACTGTAGTTAGTTTTTTTGAATGAGTTGGTAGCAACACACACACACATATACACATTTTAAGATTAAAAATCACCACCTAATGAACCCAGTTCATGATTATATATATAGAAGCTGGCAAGAACAGATACTTCCAACTGGTTTCAAATGCCACTCTAACTAATAACTAGGATATAATTTTTCTATAGAAATGTGATATTAAAGTTGCCATATTAAAATAATGTAAAATAAACTGTACGGTTTCCCCCCTATCATTTCCTTTCCAGCACTATTCAGAGTTGTTACGCTAGATACAGATTTCAGGCCAGTGAACAGCAAGGTGAGTGAAACTGGGTGCAAGGCAACTGAGATTTTTGAGACATCATACTTTTTTTTCTGGTTTGGTATTTCAAATCTAATGCCCATCTTTTTCTTTCTTTTCTTTCCAGTATGCACTGATATATATCCAGGTAAGAGAAACAGCTGATTAAAGTAGATATTTGTCTGCATTCTTATTCATATTACTTTGTCTGGACTAAGGATAGTTCCTCATACTCCCTTTTTAAGAAGACTCCTAGCACTACCAAATACCAGTTGCTAATTAACGGCGCTTCATGCAGTCATGCCGGCCACATGACCTTGGAGGTGTCTACGGACAACGCTGGCTCTTCGGCTTAGAAATGGAGATGAGCACCACACCCCAGAGTCAGACATGACTGGACTTAATGTCAGGAGACTACCTTTACCTTTACCTTTTAATGAGAACACATGAGGGTTCTGATTAATGAAAGACAAGAGATAGGTGCATCCCTACCTGAATTTAGCATTGGAGTCAGATGCCATCTATTTCACAGTATGGAAGCAAATGTTTTGCTACATCTACAATTGACTATGCTTGGTGCATGATCTTACGAGCATATGCCTTGTGGGGCATATTTCCTCATCCTTACTTCACTAATATAAATGCTGATTTTCTGCACCATGATGGTATTTCTAAGGTGGGGCAGGAGCCAGCTGTAATCTCAAAATCTTATTTTGTTGTTGAGCCTGTCACACCTCATTCGCATAATATTTATTGAGATCAATAGAAGCAAAATATGTTTCATAAGAGAGAAATGCTTCTACATTTCCTTTAGGACCTCATCATAAAGGCCCATGGATGTGCGCTGGATAGGAGCAAATCCATGGCCTCCTGGCAGGGGGCATGGAGAACCTGTGTCACTGCCCACCTTACCATGCTCCTAATCCCATGGGGGGGGGGATCACCTCCTGGCTTCCCCCATTGCTGGGAGAGGGAGCAGCATGCACTGCTTCCACTCCCTTTTTGGCACAGAGCCCAGCCTGAAGTGCCTGTGCACCATGGGAAGGGCTCCATGCTGAAAGTGGAAGGGAAGCAGTGTACAACAGTCAAATCAGTCCATGTGATGAGGAGGTAGGTTGAGCACCTTCTTTCAACAGGTGGTGGGCCAGGACCCCTAAAATCTCTAGGGCAAAAAACATGCATGATGTACCTATACTTTCCCAAAGAACTACACAAAGCAAGCATTACTCTGTAAGCATCAGTAGTAGTAATATTTTATTCAACTTGCTTGACAACTTATGGTACACCCATTAATTTCACAGGGAATTTTATTTAAAAAAGGCATACTCAGAGGTGTTTGTCTGAAAATAGCCTATAGCAGGGGTCCTCAAACTTTTTAAACAGAGGGCAAGTTCACGGTCCCTCAGACTGTTGTGTAAGGGGGGCAGACTATAATTTGTATAAGACATAAATTCCTCTTCACGGTGCACATATCTTATCTGTAATGCAAAAAAAAAAAAACCCACATGAAAGAGCAATACAATATTTAATATGGAGAACAATTTTAACCAACATAAATTTACCAGTATTTCAATGGGAAGTGTGGGCCTGCTTTTGGCTGATGAGGCAAATTGTTGTTGTTGTTGTTGTTGTTGTTGTTGTTGTTGTGTGCCTTCGGGTTGTTACATACTTAGGGAAATACTTAAGGTCTCCTTAAGTCTGAAACTACTTGAAGGCACACAACAGTTTAGGACGGGTGCTGGGTAAATGACCTTGGACGAGCACATCTAGCCCACAGGTCTTAGTTTGGGGACCCCTGGCCTATAGCATAATTCCTTGGTTGTCCACAAACCAAGTGGTTACTAGTCCTGAACCAGTGTAGTTTTCAAGATTATGTAAAATCTTGTGCTTTCAGAGTATTATTTTGGCTTCTGTGCAAACATTAGCCAATATATTTACTATAGAAACTTTGGGAGCAGTTTTAAAAAGCAGGTCATTTTTACTGTGTGTATAGAAATGGGCAGAAAATTAACCCCCCTGCTGTTCTCTCATGTGCCAAAGATGGGGTCCATGAACTCTGGTGTTTTCTTAGGAAAAAGTGTATCATGCTGTTATCTTGTGCAATGCAAAATTGGAATAATATTTTGGGCTGTTTTCGCCAGATATAATATAAATTTTCAAGGCTCTTTGAACTCTTTGGGCACAGAGACAAGTGCCCATGTTAGCCAGGACTCTGTTGTATGTATGGTGCTTGTCCACTAGAATGTGCAATATACTCTTCTGTAAAGAAAAAAACTTACTTTCCTCTGCCCTGCAGGATCCTCAAGGAAACCGTGTTGCTCAGTGGCTAAACCAGTCCCCTTCCCATGGAATTCTCCAACTTGAGTACCAGACCATTCAGGACACAAGGCTAGGAACCTATCAGTTTGTAGTAGAGAGTAAACCAGGTTCTAGCACTTATCACTGGTTCAGCATGGAGGAATATGGTGAGTATCAATGTGACATTTGCCTGTGAAGCCAATATCCATGTCCATATTTTGTTTCAGCAAAAAGTACTTTTGCCTTCAGTCTGCTCTTGCCACCATGCTCCAAAATCTGATTGTCTGAATGGCTAAAGTGACAAAATACACGAAATCTAGCAGATCTATGCACAGGAGGAATGGGACCAGAGAAGGCATAGGCTGAAATGAATCTGGCCTCCTGAAGAATTTCACGTTGAACAGTATCTCTAGTGAGATTTTATATATCCAGGGAAAGTGGGGAAGATACATCATGTGATGGGGAATCTTGGAAAAGCAGGTCGACCAGAGCCTTCATGAACCCTCACTGGCACTTTTTTATAGCCCTGCTCCCTGTTCTCCCCGGGAACTGTGGTTGCCAAAGAAGATGTCCTGTCCTGTCCTGCAGTTTCTAGCAAGATTGCTTTGGCAGCCTTGGGAACCATGGAGAACTAATCTAAAGTAATATCTGAAAAGGACAAAAAGAGATAGCAAGTGACTTAGCGAGACAAAAAATTCTGATCCATCGCTATCACAAATATATCTGAATGTTTATAATATATTCTAATCATAGAGCCCAAAACATTCATCTGATTTCATTTTGTTATTCTTTAAGGTTATATTTTAGTGTTGAGCAGAATTAAGCATTATTCATTTTTTTCCATTGAAAAACAGGTTTTTCAGCACTCAGGGAAACCTAGTTGGGATTAATAACACAACAGTAAAAATGTGCAGTTTTTTCCCTGTGTTCTCAAAGTGTTTCAGGAAATTACTTTGTGCAGAAACGTACATGGTATTTTTATTGTGTGCTTCCAGCTAGCCACTTGTAGGGGAGGGATTGTACAAGACTGGTATTTTCTGTGCAAAATAGGTCAATCTTGTACAACAAAAAATCTCTTGCAAAATATTTTTACACCAAAACAGCAATCTTGCACACACATAAAATAGAGATATTGGTTTGTTTTCACGGATGCTATTGACTGTGTATGATTTTTGTTATGCAAGGTTGCTGTTTTCTGTGCCAAAGACAGCAAACTTGTACAAATAATACATACAAGGAAAAATGTTTTCAATACAAAACCGTAAAAATAACTTGTGTATTTCTCTGCAAAACGATGACCCAGAACAGCTTGGATTGTGCAAATACTGGGTGAGAAATGCACAGAAATACTTGTTTTCTCTGCAACAGGGAGAAAAAAATTGAGAATGAAAGTTTAATATTAAACTTCAGTAAATCATTCTATGCCATTTTTTTACTTTTTTGCTGCACACTCAATTTGTTATTTGACCAAGTTAGACAATTTTAAAATATGACTTTTCCCGTCAGTACTACCAACATTTGAGGTGACTGTAAAAGCACCCCAGAGGGTCTCTGCTTTCGATGAAGAATTTGAATTGGAAACTTGTGCTCGGTAAGTCCCTGTGGCAACCTTGGGGATCGAGACAGGTTGATATTGACCCATCTAGCAATTATTTTAACTTGTACTTTGGATGGATCTAAGGAAGAAATACTGGGTTTTGGCTGCAGAGGAGGCATTTTCAGCTCAGGGCCTCTCTATATTGAACTGAATGTCAATGTGTCGTCGTCCCCTCCCGCCCCAATACCACATGCTAGCTATCCTGGAAGGTTTGAGTTTGTAACAAAGAGCTAAGAGATATCACCTGATTATACTCAACCTTATATCAAATACTCACCAAAGAAACATTACCTATTTCTGGGTCTCTTTGGAAATAGTCTTGAATGAATTTTGAATTCTGAGATTAAGAAATAGTGTTAAGGCAGGCAAAGAAAGAAGGCTGGTAAAATGGCCAAAATGACCAAAGGAATGTGAAGACAGCACAATGTAAGACTTCATAGATATGCATAGGTTTAATTCTCGTCCTCTCTGCAATGCTAGAAATTCAGAACTGAACGTGAGATTGATGCATATGTAGAATTCTTAGAGGAACAATACCTCTGTCAAAAGGGAGAGAAGGATTCACTCTGCACATTGTCAAATCTTTGGGGAGCAGAACATTCTGAGTCCTCCTTATTTCTAGGGTTCTCTGAGCTTGCTAAGATATAACCTGAAACCTGAGCTTTTCCACCCGTCCTAATTTTATTGGTTTGTTGCTTTCCTCTTAGGTATACCTATGGCCAACCTGTCCAGGGAAAAGTCCAGCTTAGAGTGTGTAGACAACGCTATTTCCACCCAAGATGTGATCGAGATTCCAATGGGATTTGTGAGGCTGTTAGTGCAGAGGTATAACGGAAAGAACTGTGAAAGGGCTGAATGTTGTGAAGGGCTCTAAAGGGAAGGGGTGGTTTGGAACTGAGGGTGGGTAGGGAGGAAGATCAAATTATAACAGGGGAAGGAAGGGGCATGTTCGCTTTTAATTTAACTCAGATCCGCACTGTGCAACATTAAAAGAATGATAATGGATAGAAATAAAATAATAACAACTTAGAGGATGTGTTATGAGGGGCAGGGAGGAGTTCTGGTGGCAGGCGAGGACCTATAACGGTGATCGAAGGGAGGAGGAGAGGTGGGAGGTGGAGAAGGCAGAGTACAGGCAAGAGGTTTCTTTCTTCCCCCAAGCCATATCACACTACAGCTAGTCTGGATAACCCAGGAGGCAAACCCCGTGGGCTGAAATCACTGCTGTTTAATATCAGGTCATTCAACAGCAAAATAGCTGCCATCCAGGAGCTGATCCTGGATAACCATGCTGACCCGGCATGTATCATGGAGACCTGGTTGGACCGGGAGGGGGGTTTAATCTCTCCCAGCTCTGTCCAGCAGGTTTCTGTGTGCAGCAGCAAGTGAGGCCCGGGGGCTGGGGAGGAGGAGTCGCAGTGGTCTATAGGGACACCATCCACTTGACCAAGTGTCATGTCCCACCAGTTCTTTACTACTGGCATGTGGTACTTGTGACATAAGTTCCAGTGAATCATTTGGACCACAGAGTTGTGCCTCGGTTTGTAGTCCATTGGTATGATTTTCTTGCAGCAGCTGAGGATATGATTAATGGTTTCATCARCTTCTTTGCATAGTCTGCATTTTGGGTCATTAGCYGATTTTTCAATCCTGGCCTTAATGGCATTGGTTCCGATGGCTTGCTCCTGGGCTGCAAGAATCAGGTCTTCTGTCTCCTTCTTCAGGGTTCCATTCATGAGCCATAACCAGGTCTTCTCCCTGTCAACTTTTCCTTCAATTTTGTCAAGGAACCRCCCATGCAATGCTTTGTTGTGCCAGCTGTCGGCTCTGGTTTGGAGTGCAGTTTTCTTGTACTGACKCTTCGTCTGCTGTGCTTTGAGAAGTTTCCAATAATTGACTTCAGTTAAAGCAAGTTCTTGGCTTTTCTTGATATATTCTGCCAGGGTGTGTTTTTCTTCTTCGACTGYTTGTTTTACTTGTAAAAGTCCTCTGCCACCAGACCTTCTGAGCAGATAGAGCCGGTCAACATCACTGCGAGGATGTAGTGAATTTTCTTATTTTTCTGTCCAAATTGTCCAGTTCTGCCTGTGTCCAGTTTATGATACCAGCAGTATATCTTATGACAGGTATGGCCCAAGTGTTTATGGCCTTGATGGTATTGTCTCCACTGAGCTTGCTTTTGAGAATTTTTCTGACCCTTTGAATGTATTCTTTGCTGATCACAGTTTTCACATGTTTATGTTTGATGTTGTCCAGCTGTAGTATGCCCAGATATTTATAGGCCTCTGGCTGGTGACACTTTATCACTTGGCCATTGGGCATATTTATGCCCTCACTTTCAATGATTTTTCCGTTCTTCTGTGCCACAGTCGAACATTTGTCCAAGCCAAAATCCATGTTGATATCAGTGCTAAAGATTCAGACAGTGTTACTCAGAGACTGGATTTCAGGTTTTTTTTAATTATTATTATTATTATTATTATTATTATTATTATTAACACAACAAGATAAGTTCACAGCAGACAAGATCACTCTGCTGGCTGTTGTATTGGATCACATGTCAGATTATTATTATTATTATTATTATTATTATTATTATTATTATTATTATCACAACAGAATGTCATGTTATCCTCTAAGGAATTCAGCAAACTTACCCAGTTCTCCTTTGCTTTTCAGCTGGGCAAAGATGGATGTGTTCGCGAAATGATCAGCACTAAAGCTTTCCACCTTTATGCAAACCTGGGTGATACTCGATTTTTCTTTGTGTCACTTCACGCAGAAGTAGTTGTCACAGAGAAAGGAACAGGTAACCATTACGTATGCAGAGTATTTATAAAATACTTCTGTCAGAGTTATTATTCTGCAAACAGGCTTCTTGGGGTGTTTTGTATAGCACATTAGTATTCGTTATAATGGTTAGTGCGTGTGTCTGTCTATCTATCTATCTATCTATCTATCTATCTATCTATCTATCTGCTATTTATGCTTCTATGTTTTTCACAGGTGACCAGATTTCCAAATCTACTCACATCTCTGTCTACCAAGCAAAAAAAACTGTATCCTTTGAGAACGTAGATCAACATTATAAAAGAGGACTTCCTTTTACTGGACAGGTAGGAAATGGGAGTATCTAACTTTTGGGAACAAAATATTACTTTTACAGAAAATGTCTTATACTGGAGATATTCATAACACTAATTCACTGAGACACCAGAAGTGACATTGGAAATCTTCTTCATGTCACAAAGAAATAAGTATCCTATATGCTATACTTACGAGGTTTTGGCGTGTTCTTATATTGAAGTAATAGTAATGGGAGTCCAGACAGAGTGGTACAGTTCATTGCTCCTGACACTCCTTTGCCTGGGATGGCTCTCGCTCTATTTGATGGGTAGCCGTATCTTCACAAGTGGCTACTGCAATAAGTTGGTGTAACAATGCGAGCTGGCCCTGGCCTCAAAAGGCTTGTCTAACTCATATTCCAGTGCCTCTTTCACACACACACACACACACACACCAGCAATCTCCCCTGCCTTCACAGTTATGCTTAGTTAGGCTCTGCTCAATAGCTTTATGTAAAAACACTTGAGGAATTCTGTCTCTGTGTCTCGGATTCTTACGTATTTCCCAAGCAACAGCATTGATTAGAACTTAGTTGCTCACTGGCTTTTGTAGTTTCGGACCTTTTTTTTAAAAAAAAAATCTATACAGTGCATTTATTATTTTTTTCCAGCAATATAAGTATAATTATAAAACTTGTAAAGCCAGTAATTTCCCAATAAATCCTGTATACCACCAATACAGCCATTATTTATTTATTTACATTATTTATACCCCACCTTTCTATATCCAAGGAGGACTGAAGGCAGCTTACATGTGGTACTTACACAGTGCCTTAAGACATACAAACGTTAACTTAAAATAAATTGGATTAAAATTAATACATATTAAACATAATTAAAATACATTCCTATGTTAAAAACCCACCATCCAGGAATCAAAGTCTAACTTCCCCTACCTAAAAGCAAACATACAATAAAAAATTAAAAAGTTAAAATTGACTTCCTACCTCCCACCTTAAAGATGTCTGATAAAGGTATTATCATAAATCAGTGGTTCTCAACCTTCCTTAATACAGTTCCTCATGATGTGATGACCCCCCAACCATAAAATTTTGCTACTGTTCTTAATCATAATGTAAATATCTGATATGCAGAATGTATTTTCATTCACTGAACCAAATTGGGCACAAATACCCAATACACCCAAATTTGAATATTGGTGGGGTTGGGTGCAGGGTTGATTTTGTCATTTGAGAGTTGTAGTTGCTGGGATTTATAGTTCAGCTACAATCAAAGAGCATTCTGAACTCCACCGATGATGGAATTGAACCAAACTTGGCACACAGAACTCCCATGACCAACAAAAAATACTGGAAGGGTTTAGTGGGCATTGACCTTGAATTTTGGAATTGTAGTTCACCTACATCCAGAAAGCACTGTGGACTCAAACAATGATGGATTTGGACCACACTTGGCACGAATCCTCAATATGGCCAAATGTGAACACTGATGGAGTTTGGGAAAAATAGACCTTGACCTTTGGGAGCTGTAGTTGCTGCAATCAAAGAACATTCTGAACCCCATCAATGATAGAATTTGGCCAAACTTCCCACAGAGGACTCTCTGTGTTTTCTGATGATCTTGGCGACCCCTCTGACACCCCCTTGCGACCCCCCTCCTCAGTGGTTGAGAAATGTTCCACTGACTTCTTATCAAACATCTTATTTTTTTCTGCTGTGCTATTTTGAATCTTTGCTTAATCTTCCAGCATTTTTACATTTTCTTTTTTCTTTATAAATTATCCAAATGGTTCCCGTTCTCCTGAAAAATTTCCAGTTAACTTCTCCTTTATCAAACAAGATAAATTTTCAATTCCTACCAGTTCTAGAGCTTTCATAATCCAGTTTCTTTTGGGGGTAGTTATTTATATTTCCATTTTTCTACACAATGCAATCTTGCTGCTATAATTTTATAACATAGTAACTTGAAATTCATGTTTTTTGTTTGTTCATTTGGAAGTCCCAATTAAAATCTAGATGTATCCTGATTTTAAATAAAAATATTATACAATTATTACATTATCTGCAAAGGTTCCCAATTATGTAAATTCTTTTTATCTGAAAATTTTGATTACTTCTTTTTGTCTTTATTTTATAGTAGTTGTTCAATAGTGAAACTGGTATACAGTTACTTTTTTGTTCACTCATGAGCCTACTTAGAGATAAGTATTATAGCTTCTGTAGCCAATGTTTCTTTTCAAGATTGAGTTGAGTACCTTTCATAACTGCAAACTCAATTCATCTTACATTTCTTGTAATGTTGTGCTAACAACACTTCTGGTCCAGGAGTTTCATTTTTATAATTGGCTTCAAAAAATTATTTTTGCTTCATTTTAGATGGGTTACTGTTGTTCTGATATTTGTGATATGTTTTGTGTCTGTACATATTTTTGATTTTTTTTTTTCAGAAAGGAGGGCCAACTCTCTATAAAACTAATTTCTGGAATATTTGTAATATCTTAATTTCTTCTGTGATCAATTTCTCCTAGTCTCTGAATCTTTTGGTGGAGTAACATAGACTGGGAACACACTGATCTATCCAAAAGTGCCCTTCACGAAGTCTTACTGATCAAATGCATGTATTTCCTGAATATTTTAGACCTGTTTTTTTTTCTTCCTGCCCTCAGCTGAAACTAAGAGATGAGGATGGCATGCCACTTCCCAATAGAGTTATCTTTCTAGAATTGGAAGGTGTGGTTATAGCTAACTACACCACAGATGAGAATGGTGGTGCTTTGTTTTCTATGGACACCTCTAACCTCTTTGAGCATCGCTATAAGTTGAGGGTAAGTTATAAATAACTGAAAAGTATGAGTGGTTGGGATAAGGGAGATATGATCAAGGGAGAATATTTCCTTTGCTGGTAGTATCACTGGATCAGACACATGTGCCTGCTACTTCATTACTATTCCTCCTCCTTGGTTGAAATCACAACAAACTTTTTTGCAAAAAAGAACTTGTCTGGCTGCCCCTGTCACTGACCTCTGGCATGTTTTTCCTCTCCATTCCATTTTGTTGTTAACAGGCATATCATGAACCAGACCAGTGCACTGACTATGGCTGGCTGGAAACAGACTATCCAGAAGCCACTCACTACATCCACCGCTTCTTCTCCCGGAGTGACAGTTTTGTGAAAATAGAGCCCATGTTGAAGGAACTGCCATGTGACCAGAAAACGGCAATCACTGTGCATTATATCCTGAGCAAAGATCAATACAAGAATGTGCAGACTATCACAGTTTCCTTCCATTATATTGTAAGTGTAGGAAGGCAAAATTGCTTTGCCATGACATCTTTGCTAACATTTCAATTCTGGATAATTAAGAAATGTCCTATAGCTTTAAAAATCTAGTTACTGGGAGTAGAGGAATTTGCAACAACAGACTAAAGACCTTATTGCATGTAGCTGCTATTCTACTATCATTGAGCTATCACTGATAGCAAGTACATTCCAGGTTGAGTACTTTCGATATCTTATCTCTTCTCAATCACACAAGAGGGTAGATTTCCAATGCTTTGTCTCAATCAGGTTGATGGAGGTCTGTTTTTAATTAGAAAGATTGGATATAAATATTTTAAATAGAGTGGTTAAAGGAGATGATGATTGCATTTGCTGTGGAGTGTATAAATGTACCTAGTGCTATACTGGATATAAGATAATTAGCTATAGGTACATTGAGCAGGCCTGAAATGCATTTGCCCTGCTGAGTAGTGAGAATGTGGTTAGATGTTTGAGGATGTGGAGCATGGGTAGATTAGAGTGGAGCATGGGTGGTGCTTAGTGGAATCCTAAGACATGAAATCTCAGAGAGGGCATTTACACTCTAGAATCAATGCAGCTTGATGCCACTTTAACTGTTAAAGCTAAATGCTATGGAATCTTTAACAAGATCATTATCCTTCTCTGCCAACGAGTGCTGGTGTTACAAAAAACTACAACTCCTATGACTTCATAGTATTGAGACATGGCAGTTAAAGTGGTGTCCAACTGCATTTATTCTACAATATAGAGGCATCCCAAGTGGATTAGAGAGGAATTCAGACTGAGAATCAGCTCCCGAACAGGTCAAAGATTCATAATGGCTTTCCAATCATAAAACATTCTCTAAAATATGGAGATTTGGGACTCAGATGCAGATGTTGAGATAGCAAAACAAATATATTTGTAGTGACTGCATTTTTGTTTCTCTTTTTAACATGCAGCTGATGACCAAAGGGAAAATTGTTGATTGCGGTGTAAAGCCTGTGAGAATTATACGTAAGTGCTTCTATTTCTGTGGTAGAGTGGGAAAATGAAGGAATAAATTGTTCACTGCAAAAGTCTAAGAAAAAGCAACCACTAGTCCTTGAGAGTTATTTTTGCTTACTGAGATCAAGTTCTAGAGGAACTATTTCTCATGAAAACTAGTTCCAAGAAGAATTTTAAGAATTTTAGATGCTGCATTTGAATCAAACTTTCAGGAGGAATTCAAGGGCTCCCCCTTCAGAAAAGCATCTGGACACTTTCAAAGACCAGACTGAGTTCTAGTAAAATTAACATTTATTCATGAGTATTATAGTCATATTTTCCTGTGTTGTGAATGGCAGAATTTCACAATCGTTTATAGTGAGGAATGTGGTAATGTAGAACAATTCTATTCTCAAAGGTCTTGTAATATCATTGGTTATCTCTGGGGTGGAGGAACTAAAGCTGAGAACCAAAAATCCATGTGTGTACATGTGTGTGCCTTCAGGTTGCCTGATGACATATGGTGACCCCAATAATTTTCTTGGGTTTTCTTAGGCAAGAAATACTCAGAGGTGGTTTGGTCTGTTGCTTCCTCTAAAATATAGCTTGCTGCACCTAATACTTGTTGTCAGTCTCCTAACCAAGGCTGACTTTGCTTATTTTTCAAGATCAGACAGAGTCTGGTGCCTCTAAGGTAGGCCTGTACAACAGGTGACCTATGGGCCAGATGCGGCTCACAAAGGGCTTCTCTGTGGCCCACGTAAGGGGTTGGACTTCACCTTCACTGATCGGCCCTTCCCCTGACTGCCTTCCTGGTCAGGGAGGCAGTGAAAGGCCGACCCGCAAAGAGGAAGCCCAGGCTGTTCCCCAAGATCACGCCATTGCCAGACTTGCAAATACTCAAGAAGACAGGGACAAGGAAAGAAGAGAGGGAGAAATGGAGATAGGGACAGAGGGAGGGTGGAAAAATATAGGGGAGGAAAGGAGGGAGAAAAAAGGGGGGTAAAGGGAGGGAGGGAGGGAGGAAAGGGAAGAAAAGGAGGGAAGGAATTCAGAATTCAGTAAGTATGTAGTGAGTTGAACTTCGAATTATGGCTCTGAACCCACTGGGTGACTTTAGGCAAGTCACACTCTCTCAGAGAGGAAGACAAAGGCAAATCCCCTTTTAATAAATCTTTGCAAGAAAACTCTGTGACAAGAAAACTGTCTTAGGGTCACTGTAACTCTGAAACAACTTGAAGGCACACAACAACAATAATCCTAATTAATCATCAATGATGGCTTACCTGGAAAGTGAGGTGCTAAAATGCTGTTTTTAGCACCTCACATCGCCAAGAGGCTTATTAGCCTATTCAATTTCAGCCCCTTATTATTCCCAGGTTGTACAGGCCTGCTCTAGGTTATTTAGACTCCTCCATAGATCCAAATATACATATTATGCTAGGCCAACTTCAATTCACTTTTCTACTAGGTAATGGCCTTTATCGATAAATGGATTCTCTTGATCTATTCTTGACTCCTCCTTTTAATTTCATGTTCTTTCACACAGCCGGGCAATATGGCACATTCACCATTATATTGAGCATTGATCAGAAGCTGGCTCCAAGGTCCCGGATCCTTGTGTACTCCTTGCAACCCAATGGTGACTTGGCTGCTGACAGCAGTTCTTTGGAAATTGAAAAGTGTTTCAGAAATAAGGTAAAAACAAATTAATGGAGCTCTGGCATAGGCTGGTCCATGAGGTCACGCAGAGTCGGAAATGACTGAACGAATGAACAACAAAAATTAATGTGTAACCCTGAATGAAACATTTTTCTCTTCATAACTTCATGCTTGAAATAACCCCTAACCATAAGTAGCACAAACAGAATACTAAGAATGATATCTGAAATGTGGGGTGAATGAATGGCAGTGCTCAAGAAGATATTGGTGATGAGTATCCTTTGATCCCAACAGAAAAGCTTAGGAAATTATCAAATACTGCAGACATTTTGTTGTTTTTAATCATCATATGTTGAAACACTTTGGTGAGTCAGCCTTCATATCTGCCCTGGGAAGTGTACTGAATAACAATATAAGACAGTAACTGAATACTGAATATAAGACAGTAACTGGTGTCATAGAACAGGACAGTTATAAATACCTAGGCAGCTAATAAAAGAAAAAAACACAATTATCTGGAAGAATGTTAAAGCAAGAAGTGAAGCTAAAGTAGTATGCCTAGAGAAATGAATATGTGTAAAGTCCAAAGAGAAATCTGTAAATCTGAGTGTGGAACAAAAGTTAGGAAAGAAATAGCAGGAAAGAGGTGCATATGACCAGCAGGATCCAAACAAGTCCAAATTTCAGATCCATTAATTTGATATGTGTTGTTGTTGTTCATTCGTTCAGTCGTTTCCGACTCTTCATGACTTCATGGACCAGTCCACGCCAGAGCTCCCTGTCGGTCATCACCACAATTTGATATGTATGTATGTGCATACAAGTTGACTGGTAACCTTATGAATTTCATAGCATTTTCTTAGGCAAAGTATGACTGGAGAAGTTTTGCAATTTATTTCCTATTAAATATAGCCTCTAGCACCTGGTATTCTACAGAAAGACAAGGAGAAATTAATCTTTCTGAGTTGGTCTGTGGAAAGAGATTTGAGGTCTCTATTCAATTCCAGGTCAGCCTTCAGTTCTCTGAGAGAGAGACACTTCCAGCTTCCAACATCAGCCTTTCACTCAAAGCTTCCAGCAATTCCTTCTGTGCACTGAGAGCTGTGGATAAGAGTGTGTTGCTTCTGAGGCCTGGAGATGATCTGTCTCCTGAGCATGTAAGTATGAAATGTGGATACCCTTTGAACCGAGAGCCATGCAGAATAGTAGATCCTGCATTGGTGGCACTGGAGCAAATGTCTGTAAGGATGAGCACAGAAACAGAAAGCCTTTCCGTGATATGTACCGAAAGCCACCCCCCTGAATCCAAGGGGGGGGGGTGCACCTTTCCAAAAGTTTTAATGCACCCCTGAAAAGATGCATCCAGACTTGAGCCATCTAATGAACATGTGCTCTTATTTGGTCATGTATTGGCCTCCTGAGATTTCTAGCCCCTTTATTAAAAAATAAAATTGGGATGAGATTTTGTCATATATTGTTAGTAGTATAGGGGAAGAAAAAATGTCAAAAACTTTTTTTGGGAAACTGATTAATACTAAATAAGATTCTGTTGTTAGCTTGATAGTTTGATTAGAGTAATCAGTGGAACTCTATGAATCATAGAATCATAGAATCAAAAAGTTGGAAGAGACCTCATGGGCCATCCAGTCCAACCCCCTGCCAAGAAGCAGGAATATTGCATTCAAATCACCCCTGACAGATGGCCATCCAGCCTCTGTTTAAAAGCTTCCAAAGAAGGAGCCTCCACCACACTCCGGGGCAGGGAGTTCCACTGCTGAACAGCTCTCACAGTCAGGAAATTCTTCCTAATGTTCAGATGGAATCTCCTCTCTTGTAGTTTGAAGCCATTGTTCTGCGTCCTAGTCTCCAAGGAAGCAGAAAACAAGCTTGCTCCCTCCTCCCTGTGGCTTCCTCTCACATATCTATACATGGCTATCATATCTCCTCTCAGCCTTCTCTTCTTCAGGCTAAACATGCCCAGTTCCCTAAGCCGCTCCTCATAGGGCTTGTTCTCCAGACCCTTGATCATTTTAGTCGCATTTTAGACTGAGAATTGAAGGCAGTTAAAGTGGAATCATAGTGCTATAACTTTATCATGTGGAAAGACCCTTTTATTAGTGAACAGGCTAATATAAAAACTATAAAGAATGTTGCTGTCTTGAACAATCTATATAAATAAAAATGTAGTGTTGGTTTGTGGTATTCACAGAACTCAAAAACCACTGGGGCAATTGGCACCAAATTTGGACACGATACACCTAACAACCCAATGTATGTCCTTCACTCAAAAAAATTGATTTTGTCATTTGGGAGTTGTAGTTGTTAGGATTTATAGTTCACCTACAATCAAAGAGCATTCTGAACTCCACCAATGATGGAATTGAACCAAACGTGGCACACAGGACTCCCATGACCAACAGAAAACACCTAGAAGGGTTTGGTGGGCATTGACCTTGAGTTAGGGAGTTGTAGTTCATCTACATCCAGAGAGCACTGTGGACTCAAACAATGATGGATCGGGAGCAAACTTGGCACAAATATTCCATTTGCCCAAGTATGAACACAGATGGAGTTTGGGGAAAATAGACCTTGACATTTGGGAGTTGTAGTTACTGGGATTTATAGTTCACCTACAATCAAAGAGCATTCTGAACCCCACAAACGACAGAATTGGGGCAAACTTCCCACACAGAACCCCCATGACCAACAGAAAATACTTAAGGCCATCCAGTCCAACTCTCTTCACCAGGGCAAGAAAACGTAATCAAAGCCCTCCTGACAAAGAGCCATCCAGCCATAGATATAGATAGATATATGATTCACACACATACAGATATAATATAGATTTGAAAGGGACCCCTAAAGAAGGACAAGGATATGTTCCATATTCTAGAGTAGGCAAACCAGACACTCTCAACACCGACAAAGTAACAACAAGAAATACTGTTTACCCACAAGCATAAAGAAATTACATAGATTAGAAATCATTACTTTATTTTCCAGATCAACAGACTGGGCCACAGCAACGCATGGCAGGGGACGGCTAGTATCAGAATAAGAATAAACAGTGTTAATTCAGAATCCTCATATGCAACTGAAAATATTCATCTTATTGAATGAAGAGCAGAAGTATTTTTTAGAAAAAGTATAAGAATGTTTTTGTCTTTTCATTGTGGGATGATACTTTAGCCCAATGCTAATTCGTCACATTTGATGCAACTTTTCATGTTTTTATGTTCCCCTAAAGAGTGTTCTATCTATTCTCACAAATATATGCAAGATTTTC